ACAACCGTGAAACATGCCGTTTAAAACAGATTAAGCACATCTTCTTTATGAATTCACTCTGTGAGCCATTCTTATTGATAGCATTGCTACACAGCTCACCTGCACCAATATCTAACAGTGTTTCCCGTTCATTTGAAGGCATCGACTGGAGCATACAATGCGCGAAGACTGGAAGAGCGAAAAGGGACATCCGAGTTCCATCTTCAATCGATTCTCTGAAATTTATTATTTTTTGGCAACCTTATCTCTCATGATTCAATTGCATTTTGTCCCTTCACACTCAGAATTTCACGCGGGCGAGCATTTTCTTTGCACGAAAGCCCAAAAAATTAAGCAAAAGCAACTGCAAAACAGCAGCTCTATTTTAAATGATTTTTTGATCTTCCTTTACCAGTTACATATACAGGGAGCGAGGCAAAAAAGGATTGATCCATGGCGCACCATTGGAAAACTTCTCGTTGTGCACGGTGCCTCCGACGAAAGAAGCTTTACCACGAGATTTCCTGGGATATCCCTCCATCAGCAGTGGTGAGCCCTTCTCCTCTACTCACACTGTCTTTAATCTGCCATCGTCCAGTCAAGGAAGCTTACATTGGTTACTATAGACTCTCAAACCGACTGAAGGTTCACAGACTTTGAGTGTAAATATCAGGATAGTGAAGCCCAAAACTGAGATTGTGAGCCATAGTTTCAAGGGCTAACGTCCCGGCGTCATCCCTAAAGGCACCGGTCGCGATCGAATTGCTATTTTGTTAAGAAATTCCAGGAAGTGTGAAGAGAAACTTCAGTGTGGAAAAAGCAAAAACACCATAGAAAACACAAACTTTTTTCTTCTAGTCGACCACGGTACACTGGAAATTCACAGCGCTGTGTGGGAAAGTACGAGAGAACATGTTATTACGAACGCCACGGATGTCGTGACTGATAAGATCGGCAGCGGTTGCAGCGGTCAAGCGGAGGCATTAAATCCATTACTGTCCACTTTCGAGTCGCCCCTTTACCACCGCTCCTGTGTTTAGAAGCCCTGCTACCCTACTCGAGGAGGGAATTTGTCCAAGGATCTAATCGGGACTGTGCCTTTAATGTTTAGAAAGGAAATGCACTCGAGAAGCTACCCATCCAGATACCAACCTACAGAGGACCTTTCAACCTACAGAAGAAGGTGAATCATTGTTCACAATTTCCTTTCTTTACTGAATTGTTCTGACATTTATAGGTACAGGAAGGTCTTAGTGCTGCTTAGCAGACTGTGATTGCTGGCTGGCTTCTAACTTTGTTTTAAATTACTCTATATTTTTGGTATCTGTCCCTACTAGCTGTACAGATGCTCTCAGGTTAGTGTACGAATAAATCAAAATAGAATAAACAAAGAAAAATCACAGCCGGTGCTGCCGCTCTAAGGGTCTGGACTAGATTACGGTGCTCTCATAAATTGGCTAGACTTTTTGCAGGCTCTGACGAAGGCGAACCCGCCGAAACGTTAGCCGATAAAGCTCTTTTAACAACCTCGTGTTGTTCCTGTTCAATATAAGACAGTCAAAAATCACAACTTCAGCGAAAACCATTTCATGATCAGTTTATATTCCAGCTGTAGAAAATCAGTGCCCGGGTGGCCGTAAAATTGAGCTTAATCTCATGAGAAGTGCAGTCAATCCTTCGCGATGCCCTCAAATCGATCCGCGATCTTTGCAAACAGCATACGCACACGAGTGGCATTACACACGTCTCCGTCTCGGCTGTGATTGTCAAACGAAATCGTCGCCTCAGTATCCAATGAATTTTTAAAGAATATTCTCAGTAGGTGGTCTTCAAAGGTATCAAAGAATAATAGTAACCTGGCAAAGTAATGATTGAGATAGGCGTCAGGATCGAATTCCTTCTTCATAGTCCTCGGGCTTGTATGTCTGCTCCGATGTCATCGATGCTTCACCCGTGTTTTCCCCTAGAAAATACATTAATTATTTAAAACTGTTGGCAGTAGAGAATATCCTCCCAACAAGAGGGCCACGAAAGAGGGATTTTTCCAAGAACCCAAAAAAGTCACAGATCAACACGAAAAAGGTGAGTATAGCAATGAAGTGAGAAGAGCAACACTCAAGAAGAGGAACAGCGGTTGACCGGCGACGTTCGTGTGAGCGCAGTAGATGAAATATCAGAGCATAAGAGCTTCAGAGAACACAGCGGCGAGTTGCGTTAGCAATGACGACAGTGGCGCAGATCAGCTTACAGCTGGATACGCCCTTGTTCTCCGTTCAGCAGAGCAAAAAGTTGAGAGCCTCAAGTCGAATAGCTTATTCCCTCTTGCAGTATCACATGGACTAGCGGCTTGTTTTTGTGGTTTGTAAACATTCGCGCAAGTGGTTACGAAGAAACGGCTTTTGAGGGAAGTCAGAGAATTCATTGGAACTTCATAGTTCATAATTTTATGTATAAGTTGGAGTTCAAGAACAATTTTTTCTGGAATTCTATTGAGCGTTTCTTCTTCCCATTAGCGGATTACTCGGCCGCACAAATGCGTCAACGAGCTCAAGGAGTTGTAACGTAGTTCAAGAGGGCTTTCAGAAAATGAAGGAGGCAAATGGGTCGCAAGCGCAGACGCGCTCGCTGTGGTTCCCAGGGGTAAGAGACTCTCTTTCCTGAAGGCTCCGCTGCCGTAAATTATAGAGATGAAAAGTCCTCTCAGGGTTAAGAGGACTCTTTTTCCTGAAGTAGGAATGTTTCTGTGTCCATATTGGCGCTGGAACCCGAGTGGTCGCGGCGCGCAAGACGCTGGAAGCATTTTGGATCACTGCTAAAGACCCTCAAATGAACAGGAAGGAGGAGTGTGTGGCTATAACCCGCGAACTCGCACCCTTCCTCGACCTTTGTAACCTTTGATCTACCATGAGGTCGGTGGGAGGTACTTCTAAGTTACCACATACTAGTTAGTACGAGGGTGGTCGTCCTCCTGTCTTAGCGGCGGAGTTCAAGGTGAGCAGTCCCATGTCTCCATCGATCAATACCTTTGGAAGTTTCCTAGTCTAGTGAAATAGTCTTGAGTTTTCTGTTAAGGCGTTTGGAGCGAACAAGTTACACATGCTTTTGACCATTTCAGGCTCTGACGAAGGCGAAGAAGCCGAAACGTAAGCCTTGTATAAAAAGTTCAATCTTGAAAGGCTTGAAGAATCATTCCTACTGAACTAACCATGCCAAGATTGCAAGAAGGTCGAACATGGACTATTCTTTCCTGAAGGCTTCCGCTGAACCGTAAATTTCATAGAGATGGGAAAATCCTCAGATATGGGGGGTTTGAAAAAATCACAGTTTTGATTCATTACTCAGCTATCTTACCAGGTGAGCCCTGCAGGCTGTGCGCTCTTGGTGAGCCCAGTGACTTTTTCCGGGTACCCGACAAAAGGCCCTTCGCCGGCAGAGTCAACCCTGCGTTGCGCAGTTCTCAACGGCCACGTTGCGCAGTTTCGCCCGATTAGACACGTTCTCTCGCGCGAACATTCACACTCGCATGCTCGAGCCGTCTGCGTCTCCGCCCATACAGCGTGCGTTGAGGATCTCTCAACGTGCCGTTGCGAACTGCGCAACGCAGGTTGACTCTGTTCGCGGGGCCGAAAGTACGGCGTCCGCGGACGGTGCGGCGGAACAGTCAAACTGATATTTTGTGGAGGGTACTATAGTTCATATAATGGACACCTAAATTGAACACTTGCGATGAACCTCTGAGTCTCTGCATTCCTCCCGCAGCGCACGCGACCTATTGGTCGAGTTACTCCTCCCTTTTCCACAAATTTCTTTCTGAAGAACTTTTCTGCAAAATCATAGCATGCGGATTCATGCATCACATCCAAATTGGGTATTATTTATGTGTTCACACCTTTCCAGTAGGCGTTCTTAGTCCTAGTTAGCGCGAGTCTAACGAGGTTTCTGCTGCAAAACCGAGTCTTCGGGCTAATTTTCTGCGGAAGGTTTTCATAAAATGGGAAAAAGACGACAATATATATTGTTTTTCCATACTTTCTCCTTTTTAGGCAGAATGAAGTTTATAAAGCTTGAACAAAGTGCAACTTGGGGCACGGGTCAAATACCCTTATATTCTGATTGCGGATATTTACAAAGTACCCATCTCCTCTGAATTGTTTAGTCACATCCTGAACCTGATTACGCTTGAGTAGACCATTAAGCCGGATACGATTGCCTGAATCTCAAAATAAAGTGAGTACACTCTGCTCCGAGAACCAGATGCCGGTCAAGTGCAGACCACACACCACAAGTGACGACGGCCTCCAAGTAAATCTGGTTAGTAGTGATTCATAGTGATAGCTGATAAAATGATAGTTGTAATTAGTGACAACTGATAGAATACAACTGCAACAGGCTAATCATTTCATTGGCAGAAAACATTACATTTTGTGGAGGCCGTCGTCACTTGTGGTGTGTGGTCTGCACTCGACACATTTGGTTTAGGGGTACCCCCCAGGAGGCCCGTCGCGCGGCAAGAAGGCAGAGTCGGCGGACGAGTCGCAGCGCGTGATGTGCGATGTAGGACGTGCAATGGGACATTCTATTTAACTTGACGCGAAATCCCTAATACGCGCGCGACTCGTCCGCTGACTCGGCCTTCTTGCCGCGCGACGGGCCTCCTGGGGGGTACCCCGCGGCAGAGTACGCGTCGCACCGCATACTGTAGCGGTTAGGCGTCAAGTTCAATAGAACGCATCACAGTACGTTCCACACCACTCACTCAACGGCGTGAGCTCGAGTCTGCTTAGTCGCGCTGTGTCGCAGAACCGTTGGGGGAAAGGTGCCCGTCTTCCCCGAGACCGCCGTCCGGGTCCCGTCG